TTATCTATTTTTACCCAATAAGCTCCAATTTTGTTTAAACTTTTTTAAAAAAACAGGAATTAATAAGAAGAATGATATGGAAAGATATTCTTCTTAAATTTATATAATAAATTAAAAAATATAGAACATGAGGCTTTTTAACTTTAATCGTTGTAAAAAATTATGAATTTAACAAAAAATATCAAAATTTGAAATTTATATAACAATATTTTTCAATAAAATCTCCTTTCAAAAAAAATAAAAGAACTTTTAAAACATCTATTATACCAAATATATAAAAGCATCGACAACAGCGATAAAACATACTAGAAATTTGAAACAAAACAGGAAACTTTTTTCAAATTGAATTTTGACATAACTATTTATAAATTAATTAAAAAATTTAATAAGACTTATTTGTTTTTCATTTAACAATATTAATATAGTAGACATTTATATCAACAGAACTAGTTTGTTAAATTTACTGAAAAATAAAAAATAAGCGATAATTAAATTAATATTTATGAAAATAAATATATATCATATTAACGACCATAAATAGGACATTTTTTTTTATTTAATAAATATATAAATCAAGATAACGTATTTTTTAAAATAATTAATTAATATATATATATATATATATATATATATATATATATATATATATATATATATATAAATTGAAATTTAATGTAAAAGATACTTTATATATATATATATATATATATATACCAAAAATGTATGGTTCGAATACAAATTATATATATATATATATATATATATATATATATATATATATATATATATATATCCACATCCACAGACAGACTGTTTCGCTGTTTCATTTGTCATCAATGTGGTAGATTTCCGATTGACTAATTGCTGATTTAGTAAAGCTATTTACATTTTAGATACCCTTAGTAGCATAGTCAATCCCCCCAAAATAGTCCTTTACAAAGAGGATGGACTCATGTTCATCCCAAATAGTAATGGTCGACTAACCTCGAAGATCCAAAAGAATATCATTAGTATTTTTAAATTGCTAGGATTTAGAATTGAGATTTCCTCTAACTTCAAAATAGTTGATTATTTTGATATCACACTTAACCTCAATAATAAAACTTTTAACCCATACTATAAAGACAATGAAACCCTTCATATATTAATGTTAATTCTAACCACCCCAAAGCTATTGTGAAACAGATCACTACTACCGTTAACACTAGGATTAGTCGAATATCACTCAACATAAATATCTTTTATTAAAATATAAAATTATATGAAAATGCTCTCCAAAAAAGTCCGATATATCTGAGATTAAACGTAGACACAGAAAAAGAAAAACTATATTGTTCACCCCCTCCCACTTCTACAAACTGTCCAATATTAACATCGGACAGTATTTCCTAAAGTTAATCAATAAGCATTTCCAAAAGAATAATCTTCTAAGATCTTCAATAGGAAAACGATTAAAATTAGCTACTCGTGTACCAACAACGCTTATAAAATTATTAGCTTACACAACAACCAAAATTTAAGAAAATTCTATGAAACCAACAACAAACCTAGTATTGAACCGTCCTGTAGTTGTAGATCTAAAGATAATTGTCCAATAGAAGTCAAATGCAAATCTACCAAGGTTATATATCAAGCGATCATTTCCCCCAAAGAAAATATAGAAAATAAAAATGTTTACAATTGAATTTCCGTTAGGTAGTGGAAACGGAGATTTTATACCCATAAGCACTCATTCCCTAACAGCTCTTTCAAAAACCAATTGAGAATTAAAGGACGAAAATTTAAACCCACAAATAGTTTGGAAAATTTTAGGCTCTGCACAAACTCCCAACAGCTTCACAGGTAGGTGTAACGTATGCTTAGAAGAAAAACTTAAAATAATGATAATAATAATAATAATAATAATAATACAAATGAAAGCTAACTATTGAATTAGAGAAACGAATTAGTGTTCAAATGTTGACATAAAAACAAATTCAAATTTCCATAATATAATTTCACCTTAATTAGATACCAGCTAAAACCCTGGACGCAATCTACTCTAAATCATCAAATGTCGACATAAGAACAAATTCAAATTTCCATAGAGTAATTTTGCCTTTTTACCTACCTTAAGTTCCTCCCCAACTTTCACCTCCCCTAAAACCTTTTTATGTCATATTAATTATAATTTATAAACTTTTCTCTACTTAAAATTTCCGTTAATCCCTTACGTCTTCATTACCTTATATATTCATAAAAATTATGTTTGAATTTATTTTTAAATCCATTTTAATTTTGAATTTAAATTTATGCTTTCCTATTTCTAATGCCCCCAATTTTCCTTCATGGGGTTACTATTCTTTGGCCTACATAATAAACCTTCTCCCCTTTAAGATAGATAATTACCACCCACACTGACCTCTGTCTGGTGCCTAAGGGCTGATTTAAACATTGAAAAGTGTGAACATTATATTAGGTATCTTCGGAAAGTTTAATTTTAGGTTAACCCTTTACATTCTAATATAACCTCATTACAGTTAAGTCCGATTTCCTCTAGGTGTATCGACGTGTACTTCATTCCACATCGAGGTTGAAAACACAGACGACCATTTTCATCCTCTACCAAAATAGTCTATTCCCCACATGAGGTAGAAATATTTTTTGACTATTCATATATATATATATATATATATATATATATATATATATACATAACATTAAATTAATCACATCACACTTAAAGATAACGAAAAATAAGAAAATGTCAAAATTGCTTTTAAAAATCCTGAAGATTGGACTGAAGAATTTCGGATATATATATATATATATATATATATATATATATATATATATATATATATATATATAATTAATATTAATAACAAATATATATAATTTACGCATGTAAATATTTTCCTACCGTCTGAGTTCAAAATAGAAAAGCGTGAACACTATAAATAGATATCTTCGGCTAAAATTGTCTATTCTCCATGTGATAAAAAATTTTTGATTATTCATTCAGTTGCGCTGTATAAATAAAATGCATCGAGCTCTCTTTAGTCGATCAATTTTAATATTTTTTTATATTACTAGGATCCACTCGGAGTATATACCCACGGATTTATTTTACCTTTACTTATATATATATATATATATATATATATATATATATAGATAAGAGAGAGAGAGAGAGAGAGAGTGGGTACTGCACAGTTAAGTAGACGATCCATTTATTTATTAAAGACTATATTTATTTATTTTCGTCTATGGCTTGAATATTCAGGAAATCTTATTAGAGAAAAATATGCTCTATCTGGCAGGATTCGAACCTGCGTTCCCCCTAGAGGAAATCGTCATTAGATCTGACGAGCTTACAGAAAAGTTTGTAAACTTTTTTCTTTCATAAGTTTTTTGGTGTGCAGGTCGACAAATGAAATAAATACAGTTCAAAATAAAACGGAGCGTCTACTCTAACACGTGTATCCCTTAAAAATAACATTTGTAGTAGTAATAATAGATACATATATGTATGTCTGTGTGTGTGTGTGTGTGCGTGTGTGTGTGTATGTGGAGCCCCGTTAAAAATTGTAGAAAGATTCAATATTTTTAAGTAATATTGCTAAAAATTTCAATTCTGCGCAAACACCGGCTCTCACAGTAATCGACTTATTTTTGTGCACAAAGTCGACTCCAGATTCGAATTTACACATCCGCATCTATTAACCAATCAGCGACGTTATACCAAGCACGCTTAAGGCTTTGAAATTTAAGACGACCATCTTTGTTGTCTGCAAAGAAATTTGAGAGTTCACTCTAAAAAATCATCAACAATGCTTCCCCTCCTAAAAATAGATATTTAAATTTTTGAAAAATATTTATTAACCAACAAAACTTCTGAGTTTATTAAATGTGATTTTAATTTTCTGGAGCCTATGCATTGTTATAAATACGATCGCGTAAATTCACAAAGTTTAGCTTTTTCAGTTTTTCAGTAAACCTATGACGCGGTTTTATTGTTTGATGCACATCTGATTATTCACAATTTTCGTATCAATAATTACTCGGCATTTGATATATTTATCGAGTAACTTCATAAAGTAAATTATAGCAATACGATAAAAACATACGAAATGATCTTCAAGCCTTCTCTTCCTTTTCACCATCTTTTATTTTTTGAGAAGGACAATATTATTTCATCCCTGTTTAAATGGAGTATTGCTGCCATATATGGTCTGGGGCACTTTCTGTTTACCTCGGAGTTCTTGACAAGATCCAGAGACGGATATGTAATATAATTGGCCCTGATCTGGCGTCTCGTCTACAGTCACTCTCTCTGTCTTTTCTACAAATACTTTCATGGTAATTGCTCCGATGAGCTGCTTTCACTGGTTCCAAGACTCCATGAATTCAAGCGCCCTAAGAGGCTGGCATCCCGCTCCCACCCTTTCATTGTACAAACTTTTAAATGTAGCCGTTTCTTCTACTCCAATAGCTTCATACCTCGCACCTCTCGCCTGTGGAATACCCTTCCAACTATTCAAATGTAATGTGGAACACCCTTCCAACTATTCAAATGTAATATCAATCGATATCTCCAGTTACCTTGATCTATCCACTATCCCCCTCCTCATCCTTTCTTCTATCACTTCTATCTGCTCTTGCTCCAAATCTACTGCAACCCCCTGCATCCTAGTGGCTTCACGCCTTGCTCGGGGCGTAATGCTTAAAAAAATGGGTCGCGAGACTAGGTGTGTTTTGCAACACTTACTGTCGGACCGACATTGATTAACCTTTTGTCGAAGACATTTTTCGACATTTTGCGAAACAATCCACTGGTGTCGTGTTACATGCTTTCTTTACTGTTGTTCCTGCAATGTGGCGATATGGTAGACAGCCAAAATGACTTGCTCAAGCGATATCTCTGTCTTAAAGATGAAGATCAGTAGAGGGCTGAAGCTGTCGCGTGGAGAGGATGTTTCCACTCGTATATACTCTGCATTTCGTGCCCTGCCCAGGAATTACTTTGCCTCAGCAGCCGCAACGAACTGGTCTCTCGTGAGTCCGTGAACACGTCGGTCGTTCGAGAGGAAGAATATCCTACCGTCATCGCTCGGGATCGTTTTTCGGAATTTGCGCGTATGTTGAGAGTTGCGACCTTGGTCTTTAAATTTATTAATAGACTGCGAGGACTTGAGGAGGACTTGGAAAGGAAGGACGCAATCTATTCGCCGAGGAGCTGGAATTCCTGGTGGAGTCCCCCGGGAAATCGTTACCTCGTCCCGTCTCGGCACTGAATCCATTTCTCGATCAGGATGGGTTGATCTGTTCCAGTGGTAGATTAACTAGGTCCTCCCATCTTACCTACGGTGTAAAAACAACATTTTACTGGGAAAAAAATCACCCCATCTCAAGGTTGATTATCATGGATTGCCACTCATGATGCTCACACTTGGTAGTTTGGTCGACTCTGACTGAATTAAGACGCAGTGGACACTGGCTTCCCCAAGGAAGACAGGCTGTCAAGAAGGCTTTGGCATCCTGCGCCTTGTGCAGAAAGTTCAATGCAAGACCTGTCCTACTTCCCATGTTGCAAACTTACCCATTCCATGCGTATAATTTAGTTTCCTTCCAGAATCCTGGATTGACTTCACAGGGAATCTTCGGGTTAAGGAGGGAATTGCAAAAAAAATTGGGTCGCGAGACTAGGTGTGTTTCGCAATCACTTACTGCCGCACCAACTTTGATTACCATTGTGTTGAAATTTTTTCGACAATATACACATTCTTTTTCTTCTAAGCTAATAACGCAAATAATTCTGTTATGTAATAAAAAATATTTCGGGAGGATCTTTGTAATTCGTCTCTTTCAATTTGAAAGAAAACAAATGCTCAATAATAAAATGTATTTAAATTTGTAGAGCTGTGTTTGAAGATTATTTCTTCCTTCGTTTTTCTCACGCTTTTTCCTACATATATATATATATATATATATATATATATATATATATATATATATATCCCTAGAAAATTTTGACATCTGGATCAGTTCGTGGTCTCTATGACTGGGCGAAATATTATGAAAAGTTTAGAAAATCTGAACTCGCTCTATATTGTTATTAAGCAATGCTTTTGGCTAATGGAAAGTTTTTCGACTTTAGTTTGGAGTCACGCTGACAACCTCACCATCTTTGGCGAAGCAATATCTGTACCTGTATCTCCCTCACTCTGTCTCTCTCTGTTTCTCTCTGGCTCTCTCTCTCTCTCTCTCTCTCATTTTCTCATTCTCTTTCTCTCTTTCGTCAGGCATTTGATCAGAAAGTCGATCTTCTTATTGATGTACCATGAACCTGGCCTTAGTACTCGCTTTCAGACAGAGATCAAATCGTAAGCATGAGAAGAAGCCCGGATGCTTCGATTTGGTAGAGAACATTGGGTTGGGGAATTGAGCCGAGGTGTAAAAAGCGTGCAACGCCAAAGCCGGGGACGGAGGCTAAGGACGTCACTTCTTCAAATCATCAAAGGTTGCTATTTTAGATTGGTGCTTCTTCAGAACAAGGAAGGAAATGTCTGCATAAATATGCCAAAAAGTAGCCGCTGAATTTCAGAAAAGTTTGGCCATTTCTAAAAAGGTTGACCGAGCTGTTCTGTTAAAACGGGGTAGGGGCCGAGTAACTAATCAAAAACATTCCCGTCCAGTTTATTCAACGAAATTCTTTTGGTGTCGAAAAGAAAATCAATGCCATCACCTTCAATATCTATCTCGCCGTCCCTGTATTTGTCTGTGTGTATGAGTGCGTGTACAATCATTCACAAGGAAAGTAGACACAGTATGCTATTTTCAGATTTTATTTTAAGGGAAGTAGCTCTCATAAAACATTAATTCCCGACTCCTATAATCTCTTATAATCGCAATCTTTCACCCTATGACTTACTCAGTAATTCTTCCAGGTGTTCAGAAACGCTTAAAGTCTAGAATAAATATATAGAATCTTACAGGATTAATTTAAACACATTCTATGATAAGTTTCATTCCTCGATATGCACACGCTCATATGTTTACATACACAAAACAATTACTATTTAGAGAATAAAATAAAATAAAGCATTTTAAAAACGTCAGTCTCAATAGTTTAAAAAAAAACAAATGACTTAAAAAAAGTAACTGCTTGTAATTCTTTTTGATTTTGCAAAAAGTAACTATTTCTATATTGAAAAAAATTTAAACATTGTCTAAAGAGGCGATAACTGCATATCAATAGCGTTTAACTTTAAACATGTAAAAAATATATAGAAATCGATAGGTTCCCCTATCGTTTGGTTCACTGTCCTTCTTGGTCTTCTGAACACAAGTAGAGTTTTATCTCTTGTTTCCCATTTATGATTAAGGGTTCTGGTTCTTTCCAAAATCTACTTCAACTCTATACTTGTAAAGTCTCCGCCTAAACTCCGTAATTTTATTTCCTTTTTATCTTTTTATTTTTTATCTTCAATAGGAGTAGACAGGTTCGCCTATCGTCCGGTTCACACTCTTCCTGGGTTTTCTGAACCCAAGTAGAGTTTTATCCCTTGTTTCTCGTTTAGAACTAGATTTTCGATTCCTTCTAAAGTCTACTTCAACTCTATACTTCTAACGTCTAAACTCTAAAATTTTATTTACTATTTAAATTTTTTTAATTTTTTATCCTCAAGAGAATTAGAAAGATTCCCCTAGCGTACAGTTAACACTCTTCCCCGGTCTTTTGAACAGGAATAAAAAGTTATACTTTGATTTTTGTTTTTTTGTTGTTGTTTTGGATTGGGTATCCCGTTTCTTTTAACCTCTCCACCTAAACTCTAAAATGTTCTAGTTCCTTTTCTCATTGTTTCACTCTGAGTAGACCCTTGGGTCTACTCAAGTGAAACAGAATGAGAAAAGGATAGGCGAACCTGTCTACTCCTATTGAAGATAAAAAATAAAAAGATAAAAAGGAAATAAAATTACGGAGTTTAGGCGGAGACTTTACAAGTATAGAGTTGAAGTAGATTTTGGAAAGAACCAGAACCCTTAATCATAAATGGGAAACAAGAGATAAAACTCTACTTGTGTTCAGAAGACCAAGAAGGACAGTGAACCAAACGATAGGGGAACCTATCGATTTCTATATATTTTTTACATGTTTAAAGTTAAACGCTATTGATATGCAGTTATCGCCTCTTTAGACAATGTTTAAATTTTTTTCAATATAGAAACAGTTACTTTTTGCAATGAGTGGTATTATTGCGTGGCTTGGTGGGAACTGATTAAAAACAAAAGGTGCGTATTTCAATAAATACCGACTTTAGTGTTTATGTGAAGATGTATAATATACCAGGTCGTGATGAAAGTTCTCAGTGCAGCTAAAAAACGCTGATGTTTCATCCTGTGGCCAGGGCTAGGGCAACAGGTAAGTCCGAGATATTTTCAACACGAATTGATATATATATATATATACAAGACAGGATGAAACTGCAACATCCTAAAGAACGGTGCAGATTTTGGCCTGTGTACGGTATGTACATGCTAAAGAGACAATAGATAAATTATTAACTGTTCAAAGTCTTCGATTATCTCGTGACGTCGTAAAACGCACGTCAGTGCACCAACTGTGTTTAAGCTTTAGACGGTGCTGCATGCCGTGATAAGACTCAATGTAGTGAAACAGACGAGTGCAAACAGGTGCCATGCCCCGGACACACGCACTCCTGCTGTCCAATTAGAGGCAATTATGAAGGGTCGGATATTGGATTTTGGAGAGGATGGTCATTTCGGAGAGATGTTGCACATCTTAGCAATACTGGTCAAATGAACATTACCAAATCCGTCAAATTCTCTACAACTACATATTACAACGCTCGCTAAGATCGAAGCATTGTAAAGACAACCGTGGCAGACCCCATACTGTCCGCATCACATATTAGAGTAAATTAGCTATTTGCTAATAAAAATCGTGTATTAGTCCAATCAACAAAAGGACTAACTCGCTACTAATTAAATTTAAAATTGAAATTGACGTGAGCGTTCTATATATATATATATATATATATATATATATATATATATATATATATATATATATATATATGAATGTATGTATGTAGTGCGTATATTTTGGGGGCAAATTTTCATTAGGAAATGTCCCATCACATATTAGACTAAATTAGCTATTTTCTAATAAAAATTGTGTATTAGTCCAATCAATAAAAGGACTAACCCGCTACTAATTAAATTTAAAATTGAAATTGTCGTGAGTGTGGTGTTATATAGATAGATAGATAGATAGATAGATAGATAGATAGATAGATAGATAGATATGAATGTGTGTATGTATGTAGTGCGTATATTTTGGGGACATATTTTCATTAGGAAATGTCCCATCACATATTAGACTGAATTAGCTATTTTCTAATAAAAATTGTGTATTAGTCCAATCAATAAAGCCTATATATATATATATATATATATATATATATATGTATGCATGTATGTATGTAGTCCGTATATTTTGGCGGCATGTTTTCATTAGGAAATGTCCCAATAAATAATTTAGACAAGTTTTGTCTACTTATTTCTATAGGATCCTCTCATAATTACGGACACGTTTCTTACTATCCTTATTAAAGGAAGAAGGAAAAATACCGTGTTGATGCATATTCATTTTATTCTAAGTATTTTCGCATTAGCACAATGTCGTCATCAGGGTCTTGTTTTTTCTAAGACAAAAATTTTCGTCTTCATCATTTTTCTTAGAAAAAATTTTGTTCACCTATAATTAAATTTTTACTAGTGATGCAAAAAAAGCTAAGGTTATGTATTGTACTATTTTTAAAATTCATGATTTAAACACAAGTCAAACGTCAAGGGTTGGGTGGACTAAGTTACGGTAAAATCCTCAGAAAAAAAGTTAAAATTTGCTAAACTTTCAGTTAAACTATCGGCTGTAGACAAGCGATTTGTCAGATCAATTGTTAATATGGCTATCAGCTAGTGAAACCTGTGGGGTTTTGCGAATTCTACACTTTTTCAAACCTCATGGACTGGCGCTACATAATCAGAAACAATGAACTGTACCAAATAATAGAAACATCACTTGAGAATTTTCAACGGTAGCTTCAAACACTACTTCAAACAAAAGGTTAGGAAGGAAAGCCCCCATCAAAACTGGAAACCTTGTAAAGAAAACTTTGAAAATAAAATTTGTTTAGCATCTCCTATCAGTTCACTTCAGATAAACTTGGTAACATCCCAGACGAAATTCACTTTATGAATTTTATAATTGTTAAACCATCACTTGAAACAATCAACAGTACAAGATTTTGATTGGTGTAACTGAGGTCAACATAAGAGATTAAACATGCAATGATTTATCTTGTGTAAGTGTACTAGTAGTAGTTTTAGTAGGAGGAGGAGTAATAGCCTCTCTTGGTATATTTGTCAAAATATAAACTTTCCTTTCCTTTAAATGTATACTTTACAAATGCCTGTTGTATTCCAAATTTCTAAGAAATGTCTGTATATTTCCATTTTTGTTTGGTTTTAGAAAAGTAATTTGAGAATTGTCAAAAATATCAGCTCTTTTTCAAGCCTCTTTTGACCCGTATAAACTAAGAACTTGAGTCATGTTCTTAAATAGTGTGGTCGAATTCGAAACCATTAACCTAAGATCTCCAGACATGTTCTTAAATAACCTCGTCATATCAAGACTTTCGTATGAATGTCATGCATGACGCCAAGCTGTATAGCTGTATACAACCGCTTTCTCAGTCTTTAAAATGACTTTGAGAGAATTAAGCCTGTAGATCTTGGCAAGGGCCATCCGTCGTCCAGCCTCGGTGCTATAGAATCACAAACAAATAACTCTAGTAAACAAATAGCCCTGGCACTACAGAATCACAAAGAAATAACTAGTAAACAACAAAAACCACATCAGTTGCAGACTTTCAACAACAAGAACAACTAAAATAGATAAAACATGTGATTTGAAAAGCAAATAGTAGCATCATTAAGATGCTGACGTTCCACACGGCGTCAAACAAAAAGTTAGGAAGGAAACACCCATCAATACTGGAAAGAGCGATAACAGTTATTGGACTTCAAAAAAAACTATTTTCCTGAAAAATTGTTTTAATAAAAACGTTTTATAAATTTCAATCGCGATCAGTGAATGCAGAATGTTTCCTTGTAAGAAAACAGCTATAATTACCATAAGATGCACAATTGTTACGAGACAGTAGCTGTTGTTCTTGCTACATGTAACTTGTCATAATAGTTACGCTCATTAATGCACACAAACACATACATATATATTTGTGCATGTCTGTGTGCGTATGTGTGCGCGTACATGTGTATGTGCACTTCCCCGCTGGTAATAATGCGGTGTAAAAATATGCTTTATTTCAAACCGGATTACGCATGATAAAAAAAACATTAACGTGGTTCTGGTTTCGTGACTTGTGTGTCGTGTTCACATCTTCCAGGCAAATATTTTGCACGTCTAATGAATATTGAATAGAATACGCAGCTTTTAAGCTCCCTTTCATACATGACACTTCGTCGTCAGCTAGTGACGAGGAGCTAAGAGATAGGAAGAAGATTATTAAAGTAACGACATATATTTTGTCGGGGAGCGAACAGACGGAATAATGGCGAGGACAAATGCAGACGACAATAAAGAGTAAGAAAATGTCTCGCCGAGACGAAGGAAAGTCTGATATCATTTTTTTTTTTTTTACCTAACAAAAGATTCTTGGCTTTTTCTTAAATTTCCCAAACGATAACGATGTAAAAGAAACGCTATATTTTTTTTCTCCATTTTCTGTAGGTCGCTGTATGTATTAAAGGTTGGAAATTCCAAAAAGAAAAAAAATGGCTACTTTGTTATATAATTTACTAATAAAAGTATAAAATACGTTGGCATTTATTCTTTTGACAACGATCAGATATTGCTGCGATTTTTTGAAGACAGGTTTATTGACATCTGTCTTTTATTCTATTTTCTGAGTTCTGCAAATATATTTCAAATTTGTTTTAACTTTCTTTTCTATTTGATTAAAGTTTATACTCTTTTTGTAAATAAGATGTTTTACAAACAAACGTTTCTATTCAATTTCTATTGAATTCACTGTTGAGTTGCAAGAAAATAAAGACAAATTTTCCTTTCTTTCCTTCTATCTATCCTATCTTTCATTTATTTCCGTTACATTTATTTTCGTTTTTTGTTCCCCCTCCTTTCTTTTCTCTTTTACGTCTATTTTTTTCTCCCAGTTTTCTCACTCTTAAAATCCAGATATAGAGAGAAATATATACATTATTTTTATGCTGTTACCACAGTTTATCGGAATTAAATAAAAACTGCAATATTGAAAACCTCTTTCTTTCAAGATATTGCCTGAATATTTTTATTTTATTTTTTTATCCGTATCACCCCATTGAAGGTAATAAAGCTATTAAGACACAAGAGCTTACAGTGTGGAACAATTAAGAAGAAAAACATTAATAATGGGCGGGAAGAGAAAAGTGCAATCAGAAAGACAGTAGATAGCGATTGACATTGCATTTGATTTTTGCAGATTAAAATTCGCTGGAAAGCAGTGAGCCGGAAGGAAGTTCCACAAGTGAGAAGTGCGAGAAAAGTAACGGTTAGCATAAAATTTATGGCTATATCTCGCCAGCTCAACTGTGAATTGATGACAACTTGAAACCAGTTTAATACGGCGCTTAAATTAAAAATGATTAGGTACCATGACGATGAACTCATCTGAACAATTACCATAAAAGTACTAATAGAAAAGACACAAAGAGGTAACCTTACGGCGACGGGAAAGTGTCAAAAGACGAGCCGCCGGATGAGTCTTCTTTGGATTTTATCAAAGAGATCTAGATAAATAGCAGGAGCACATGACCATATGTGGCAGCAATATTCTAAGCATGGAAAACGTTACTCATTTAAAACTTACTTATTTAAAGAAAATAATTCTCTTGTCGAATAGTGTTTAAGTTAATGAACTATAATATTGAGAAAGCATTACATTTGCATATCCTAATCTGTTATTAGCAAGAAAGACAGTCCTAAATGTGAGATACAAATATGAGACATCAAAAAAAAAAAGAAATTACAGGAATTTAATTATCTGGGTTGTGCTATAACTGACAATGGAAAATATGGCATAGAAATCGGAAGAGGCATTGAAATAACCATGCCTTCCAGAAACTAAGTAATATATTAAGAATCAGGACTTAGTAAGTGTAAAAGAATTAGAAAAACAGAAATCATTATGAAAAAGCGGGAACAATACAAGAGTAATCAGGAAGACAGCAGGTAACGATTGGCATTACATTTAGATTTTGGAAAAATCAAAGTTGACGGGTAAGTATAGACCCAGGAGGAAGATCACAAAGCGAGACGTTCGAGAAAAGAATCTTTTTTTTTTTTTTGGCATTTTGCCAATTCAAAAGTAAAAGAGACCTTGTTTCTAATCAAGTACTGTGCTTAAATTTATAAAGTCTAAAGATCATAGCGAAGAACTCATCTGAACAAATACCATAAAAGCATTTATTAAAAAAGACACCAGGAGGCAACGTTACGGCGATAGAAAAGTGAATGAAGCCGAGACGCCAGATCAGGATCAATAATATTGCAGATTCTTCTTTGGATTTTATCAAGGAACTCAAGGTAAATAGCAGGAGAACTGGACCATATGTAGCATCAATATTCTAACCATGGGCGAATTATAGACGTATAGATATATATGATAAATTTTGGAGAGGAAAATCGCTTCACACGACAGAGTGAACCAAATTCTTAGCAGCTGATCTAGAAATGAATTCAATATAGTCTTTCCACATCATATCAGTTGAGACCCAAGAAGGCGCAACAAGTCACTTTCCTAGAGGTTAGCATCAATCATGCTGATGGAAGTTAGAATGGACACACTCAGATGATTAATGGAGAGAAGTTTAGTCTTGGAGGCGTTAAAATTAACAAGCCATTTTTGACGCAGTTAATGACGGACCTGTTATTTTATTTTTTTGCAATTGTTTTGTAATATCGATATGATTTTATACGTCATTAGATCATAATTAAATATAAACAGTTTTGTCAAGCGTATTTTTTTCACAACCCAACAACTTCTACGGAAACACTTAGAATATTGTAAATCACCAATTTCGTAGAGGAATAGCAAAAAAACAAAAGATAAAACACATCTTCAATTCTAACACATTTATCTATATTTTAAAATATTGATAAGTATATTGGTACAATTATAAACACTGAAATAAGACAGGAAATATCATCAGTCCATTGACGGTCCAAATGTCAAATTTATTTTAGTTGTTTATGTATGTGTGTGTATGTATGTGTG